AGGACAGGACGGGGGAAGAGCGACAAGGGAGGGCAAGGGGGGCACCTCTACCCGAGGGAGCAGGGGGGAACCGGGGGGGAGAGGGGGCGGAGGGCAGGGCACAAAAGCAAAGGCCAGCGACGAGGAGAGTGTATGACTCTGGGGAGGCGGGAACGGCGGATGTGTCTCAGATAGATACAGAGGCGGCAAAGAACGCAGGTACGTGTGTGAAAATGTCACGAGTGCAACGGGCAACATCTCTATGTGCACCGGCAGGGAGAGGGCCAACCGAGTGAGAAGGCACGGGGGCAGGGCCAAATGAAAGGGAGCAACAGAGGAGAAGACGGGAGAAAGAGGAGGGAGCAAGGGCGGAACAAAGGAGCAGGACGACGGGCATAGGACGAAGAAAGGCAAGGGGAAGCAAGAGAACAAGAAGAGGAGGGCAAGGGGTACTATATGTTATGTGTCAAGCAGCAGGAGGGGCAGCGGGTGGATGTAGGGGCGAGAGCGGGAGAGGGGGAAAGGAAAAGACGGGGGCGCCCAAAGCAACAGAAAAAAGGGGAGGGGAACAAGAAGAAAAAGAAAAAAAATCAAAGGCAGACGGAGAGGGGCGCAAGAAAAACGGAGGAATGGGGGAAGACAAGGTGCGGCGGGCAGCGGGTGCAACAACGATCCGCGGGAAGGCGCAGGAGAGGGAGAGGAGGGGACACAACAGGAATCCGGGGGGGAGCCACCAATATGAAGGGAGCGCAGACCGGGGGGAAGACACCACGCATAAAGGGCCAGCGCACAACGGGGGGGGAGGGAGCAAGAAGGCGCATGTGCGGGAAAGCGGACGTGGCAAGGGCGAGGGTGGTGGAACGGAGCATGGCGAGAAACGTGCAAAGAAGGGAGCGGCGGGGGGCAAAAAAGGGGGTAAAACAGAGACACCAGAAGTGAAAGAGAGAAAAAGAAGACAGGTATGGTATCTATAAACCCGCGGGGCGAGGGCGTGCAGGAGGGTCTATGTGTGGGGAGGAAGAAGGGTTGCCACAAGAAACAGCGGCGATACAGGGCGCCATGGCCGCAGGAAGGACATGAAGGAGGGAGAAGCAAGGGGCCGGGGTGGAAAGGGCCCGGGGGGGAGGGCAGGAGCACCATATGTCTAGTATATGTTTTGTATCTGATGTGTATCACATGAAAAGGGGCAAACAGAAAAAAAAGAGGGGCGGAGAAAGAGGAAAGGAGCAAAACAAGAAGAGAGAAACGATGTAAGGGCACCGGGTGGCACAGGCCCAAGCGGCAGGCCCACCAAGGGCCAGCAGCAGTCTCTGGAGAAGCGCAGGAGCGCGGGGAAAGGGCAAGAGGAGGAAGGGAGCATGGCAGCGGGACCACAACCGGAGGGGGAAAGGCAGACCACGGCCACGAGCGCGGGCTTCAAGCGGGCGCGCCGGAAAGCGGACAAGCAGGGCCGGAGAGGGAGCCCGGGAGGGAGTAAAAACAACAGGGTAAAAGTTGTAGCAAAAACGGAGAGGTGGATATCAGCAAATGGAAAGAAGGATATATAAAGGGAGCACGAACTGAGGACGAAAGAAGGAGGAGGACGAAACAAAGACAGAAGGGAAAAGGCAGCCAACCGGAAGGGGAGGCGGGAAACGCCCGCAAAGAAGAACAGGGAAACCCAGCAAAGGAGACAGGCGGGGACGAAGGAAAGAAACCACAGGCGGCCAGAGAGCAGAGGGAAGGACAAAAAGGAGGCAGGGGAAAACAAAAGCAAACGGCCGAGGGGCGGACAGCGGAGCCAAGGGAAACACGGGGGATCAATCAAAAGAGGGCTGAAACGCAGGGACACAGGAAGCCGGGGCGGGAGTGACAGGGAAGACAGCAAAAAGAAGAAAACGACAAAGGAGGGCCGCCGCGAGCCTGTCTCTCTATATGTGTGATGGCCGGGGAGGGGGCAGGGGACCGGGACCGGAAAAGGAGTAGTCCCAGAGAGTGTTTGTATGTCTCATATGTCCCAGCAGAAACGAGACGGATATATCCTATACTCTTTAAGGAACAAGGACGAAAAGAGGAGCAAGGGAGAGATGGCCAACACGTGAGACCACAGGAAAGCACAGATGTGTGTATGTTCTATTATATCGATCTGTATGTGAGGCCTATGTGGAGGGCAGGGGCCCGGGGCAACAAGAGCAGTGTGGCAGTCTGTCTGACCGGGAGCAACAGAGACGCGAGAAAAAAATCGATGAGCCCACAGCACAGAAGAAGCAGAGAAGCGAGACCCACAGGCGCAACAGAGGAGAGTGAGCCACAACAAGAGCCACAGGCACAGAGAAGCAGAGAAGGCGAGAGCCAGAACGGCTATCTATATATATATGTATATATGTATGAGGAGCGCGAGCGGCACGGCGCGAGGACAAGCAGAGGAGAGGGAGCGAGAGGGTCTATGTCCCCCGAGCTGTGTTCTGCCTCCAACCACGAGGCGGGGAGAGGGGACAGCCCCAGTCGGCCCCGAAACCCGGTAGGACATGTCTCTCCCAGCGCCCGCTCCGCGGATATCTATGAACGGAGACCAAACACAGTGGGGGCGAAACAAGCACGCAACACAGACAGGGAAGTGTGTATGTGCTGTTATCTATACTCTGTTATATATGCTCCTATGGTATCCTACTAGTGTCTCTATGGGAGGAGGGGCCGGTGTGTGTCTCGAAGGCAGGCAGGCCAGGGGCGACAACAAGCACGACGATGCCGCCACGGAGAGCCAAAGCAAGGAGGGAAACAGGAAAAAGAAAAAGTTGGGGCCCCCCAAAACCAAAGGGAGAGGGCAAGCAACAGTGTGTCTATATGTGTCGGTTGTTGTATAAACAAGGCAACGACACCCGTGGAACCCCAGACAGTCCCAAGCGCGACAAGGCCAGGGCAGGACCGCAGGGCGCACAAGGAAGGAGCGCAATGAAGCAAACAGGGAGGAGGGCAGGGGCCAGAAGGACCAGGGCAACCCGGAGGCCCAGGGGCAGCAAGGAGGCTATATCTATGTTGTTAGGCCAGGGCGCGAGGCCAAACAGGACAGCGAGGGTGAGGAGGAAGAAAAACCCCAACGGTGGGAAAAGAACACATATAAGCCCCAACGGGCACAAAAGGACCATATATCCAACCCCAACAAGCGCAAAAGACGGAAAGGAAAGACAAAATTGCCAGAGAGAGGAGGAGGATGAGCCCGACCGCAAAGGCGGACGCCAAGGGAGAAGAAGACAAAAACCCAACGGGCGCCAAAGCGCGAAAGGGGCATAGGGAAAAAGGAGGCCCCGGACGAGCAACAACGTGGGGGAAAGGTTCCAAAGGGGAGCAAAGCCACGCCGACGAGAGCAAAACCGAGAGAGAAGGGAGGAGGGCGAGAAAGGAGAGGCGCAACAAGGGGGGGAAAAGGAGGAGAGAGAGAGAAAGGGAAAAAAAGGAGGGGAAAAGGCCAAAACACGGAACGTGAAACCCAGGCGACCCGCGCGAGCGGCAAAAACCCCGCCGCAGCGGCACGCACAGACGCTTCCGCGGCGAGCACCAACAAACCCGCGCGAGCGGCAAGACACACGCCCAGAACGGGGGACAGAACCAGGCCAGCGGGGTGCGTTGTGGGGGGGCGCTATGTGCGAGCGGCGAACGCCCGCGCGAGCTGGTCTATGCATCTAATCTATATCTCCTGGTCTGCTGTATGTCTGTGGCCAAGACCACGCGCAAGCGTGTCCAAACACGACTATCATGAAAGACGGGAGGGGTGCAAGGCCCGCTGCCGGAGCGTCCCAAAAAACCCCCGCGGATGCCGGGGAATTCAGCCGGCAAAGTCGGGGCAAACGAGGGGGGGAGGGCGAAAACGCAAATCCAACCGTGGAACAAACCGGCCAACACAGCCCAGAACGAAAGACGAAGGAAAGGAGGGAAAACAAGAGATATGAAAAACAGGCGACCAACAGCCACGGACAACGCCGGAGCAGGGGAACAAGGGGGAAAGGTCCGGGAAGCCACGAGATTTAGGGCACTGCACGGGAAAAAAGGGGGCGGCAAGCGGCAAAGCTTGGGCCAGGGGCGCACTCTTGTCTTGATATGCCATCACCCCTGGTAATTTGTAGATGTTATTAACATCCAAGGAACTTGAAAGGCCGGCAATGAACTTGATTTTCCCCTTGATTGTAAAGTATGCTATGTATTGTTTTGGAAGAAATCTTGGATATCAATCATGGAAAACCTTTATTTCTAATATCATTCACTGAGTATCCAAGCTCACCCTCTCTATATATATGTAGGTGATGAGCAAGAAGGCAATGAGGCCTAGACGTGTAGCCGATGTGTTTTTGGGTGCATTGCCGACGTGTTTTGGATTAGCATTTTGTACCATCTTGAAGATTATGCTTCTTAGCTTATATTTCATGTGCACTTGTATATGTCAGCTTGAGAAGCCTTTTGGTCAAGATGTATTTTGTATCTCATGCCCTTATTGTATCTAAGTTGTAAGACTTTGTAAAAATGTATGTCATTTCATTGGACTTAAGCACGGCTCTCATGGACTATTTAGATTCAGTATATATATATATATGTTGCTTCCGCACTTGTAAGCCCCATATTTTATACTCTGATTGTGTGCAATTCTTGTAAGTCGGCCTTCGGTAATCTCGGATTACTGGCCATCACGGCACCAAACTACTAGGGGCGGTTTGGGGGCGTGACATGTATAAATTGTGAATTAGTCTAAAAAATATTTCTTTTTCTCTATATTTAAAGCTTCAAAAAAAGCCATCGAAAGGCTAAATTATTTGTACAGGAACCAACAGAAACACCTTAGGAGAGACCAATATAAGTTGTATGAACTTACGGCACATTACCATTTGTGAATTAGCCTTAAAATTAATTTTTTGTTCTCATCATCTCGAAAAAAAGTATGTTAGAGGGATAAATTATATAATTGATCTAATTGTAAATTGATGAGTTACTAATGTTTTTAATCTTTTGTATAATTAATTAATTACTAAAGCTTTTAATTTATTTTTTTGCAGATTGGATTGGGGTGGCGTTTTTGACGTGCAACAATGATGTAATTTGCTTGAATGTTCATTTTGTTTGATAAGGATACACATACTTTGTGGAGTTGCACTAGTTATTGTTGGATGTTTGGTAGAATTGTATAAGTTATAACTTTTAGATATTTTGTGGATATTGCACTATTTTATTGTATTAGGATGAAATTATTTGTAATGATGAATGGATATTTTCATTTTGTTAATTCGTAAATGTGTTGATAACAGGTTAGGTTAAGTTGTGAATGGAATTGTTATATTCAACAGGTTTCAACATGAACAGGGTTATATTTGTTGAACTAAAATTCAGATTTTGGTAACATAGGTATATAATGTGGAAAAAAATATTATGGAATTAGTGACAAAATTTTTCATCCCCAATGAAGGTTTTTTCGTCTCTTATTTGGCTTAGGTGGAAGATTAATTTTGTCATGAATTCTTTATTTCGTCGCTAAATGAATTTGTCATGACGAAAAATATTGCCATATTTTGTCACTATTACCCTCAATGTGTGACGATTTTTTTTTGACATTATTTCATCATTTTTTATGATGAATTTGTTTTTGTCTCTATTGGTAGCTTCTTTGACAAAAATTTTTTGTCTTCGTTTATATTAAACGTGACAAAATTATTTCGTCTCTATTTCTTATATTTATGACAAAATACTTTCGTCTCTAATTTCATTCTTTAATGATAAAATATTTTGTCGCTAATTACTTACAAGTATGTTTCCAACAGAGTGTATTGGAGACAAAAAAATTCATCACAAATTTATCATTTTTAATAATGAATTTGTTTTTGTTTCTATTGGTAGCTTCATTGACAAAAAATTTTCGTCTTCGTTTATATTAAACGTGACAAAATTATTTCATCTCTATTTCTTATATTTATGACAAAATAATTGTGTCTCTAATTTCATTCTTTAATGATAAAATATTTTGTCGCTAATTACTTACAAGTATGTTCCCAACAGAGTGTATTGGAGACAAAAAAATTCGTCACAAATTTATCATTTTCAATGACGAATTTTTTTTTTCGTCTCTAAGACTCTTTAGTGGCGACGCTTTGGCAACAAAATGAGTGACAAAAAATTTTCGTCGTAATTAGTTTGAGTGACGAAATATATACATTTTGGGACAAATTTGTTTCATCTTTAAATCCCAAATTTGTTGTAAACATTATTCATCAAACATCGAACATTAGCAACGTCAGGATTATTTATCAAACATCAAGGGGTTTCAACCCTTCTTCGTTCCAGTGAAACAGGTGCCTACTAAGAGTCCCTTGAGGCATGTATTCATAAACCAGTAGCCTCTCATTTCCATCCAAGCAGTAACCCAAGAGAGAAACCAAATGCCTATGTCGAACCTTAGTAAGCACTGCAATCTCAGAATTGAACTCATCCAAACCCTTGTCACTCACCACTCCAGACTCCATCCTCTTAACCGCAATCTTAGTCCCATCATGCAACTCTCCTTTGTAAACTTTTCCAAATCCTCCTCTTCCCAATATGTTCCCTTCGCTAAAATTGTTGGTCACAGTCTTCAAAACTTGAATGGAGATTACCATATTTCTAGCTTCAATAACATGAATATCACTAGGTCCACGACTGTCATGACTGTATGTTTCACCCGTTGTCCCACCAGTCAAACCCAAATCAGCAATGGTAATCTTAACAGCATCATGGTCTAAACCTGACTGATGAGGACAAACCACCATGGCATTTGGACTCTACACCATACAAGAATGCTTTTGTTTAGCCCTACAAATGCAGAACACACTAACCCCAACAGCCAATACGGCACAAATACAACTAATTACCAAACCCACAACCATACCAGTCAACTTATTGCCACTACTTCCCGAAGTCTTTGTACCACTAACTGAGGGCGTACCCGGCAATGGACTAACACTATCCTTCCCAATATCAAGATTCCCGTCAGTTTTTACAAGTACATTACTCTGAAAAGATGGAATGTTCCCATAAAGTCGGTTGTTCAAAACATCTAATTCTCTTAGGTTAGGCAAAGTTGTGAGCTCATTAGGGATAGTACCCGTAAGATTGTTATTAGTAAGTATTAGTCTCTGCAACGAAGTAATTGATGAAAAATTGGGAGCAATCATACCACTAAGACCCATTTTCTGAAAATTGACAACAGTAATGTCTCCATTAGAACAAGTGAGACCCATCCATTGGACACAAGGATCATTCCCTTTCCAACTATCCGCAAACACCGTTGGATAACCAACAGATTGTGCAATCGTAAGCAATGTATTAACCCGGGAATCGCAACCAACACCAGGATCAGATAAGCAGAAACTATTAGTCCCAATTGTCATATCAACTGCAACCAAAGAATGAAATTTTGGGGTCGGGCCTTGTAACAGATTGTTTGTCAAATTCACAACTTTAAGCGATGGAAGGTTCACAAGAGACACGGGTACTAAACTCGTGATCCGATTGTCCCTAACACTGAAATTCTGCAACCCAGTTAGCCCTGAAAGTTCCGGTAAAGGACCTAAAAAAGAATTTGAATGTAACCACACTTGGTTCAATTGGGTCATGTTCTGTATCACCCCAATTGAGCCATTGAGCTTAGAACTAATACCCCGTTGCCCATTCAACCACAGAGACTGAATCGACGAACCCGAAAAGCTTCCTGGTAATCCACCCTCGAGATTGTTGAATTTCAAATGCAAGGAACCCAGATTCACAAACCCGCCAAAGAATTCGGGAATGTTTCCGATTATATTGGCCGCACTGGTAGAGAAAACCTGGAGAGCTGAGGCGTTTTGGAGACTTTTCGGGATTCGCCACGGCGAATAGGGGTTGTAATCGAGATAAACACCTTGAAGAGATGTCATTCCGAGAAAGAAGTCGGAGGGAATGGAAGAGAAATTGTTGTTGTTGAGGAACAAGAACTGGAGAGAACTCAACCCGGACAAACTCGGAACCGGACCAATGAGTTGGTAAGACATGAACTCGAGTCTCTGCAAGAAAGTGAGTTTGGCGAGACTCGGAGGAAAAGAGCCTTTCAGCTTCTGATGCCCAATTTGGATTCGGGTGACTCGATTGTCGCTGGAGCAACCCACGTTCTGCCATTTGTAGGGGTCTGAGTCGGTCCAGCCGAGTGAACTTGGAGGGTTGATGCTCTGCTTGAGAGCCTGCATTACTGAAGCGTCGCCACTCTGACAGTGAACAAAGACAGAAGAGGAGAGGAGAGAGAGGAATATGAGGGATAAAACCCTAGAATCAAGATGGGGTGTTGTGTCCATATTCTCGAGAAAATTGGAAAGAAAGAGGAAGAAAACCATGAGAGACAGTGGTGGTGATGGGGGAGTTGATCTTGTTTAGAAGTAGCAGGGAATGGCATTTTATAAGTAGCAAAGAAAACCATAAAGAGTAATGTTGGAGATATAAATAGAAGAATCTTATATGTATTAATTAGTATATTATAGATGATGTAAGATAATTTTAGAGATTTTAAATATTTATAATTTGTATAATAGGTAGAGTCAGTAATAATGACATAATATTAATTGATATATTAATGTGTATATTAATAGGTAGAGTCTGTAAGAAAACCATGAGACACAATGGAAGCTGAGAGGGTAATTTTTGGGAAAAATTGGGCCGAGCTTCGAGTTGGGCTTTAAGGCCCAAAACACGAAGGATTAAGTAAAAAGGCCGTAATGGATACTTCGGCCTAGGGGGCAAGGTTACTCCGGTCTTGAGGAGACAAAGTTACTTCGGCCCAAGGAGGTGAGGTTACTCCGGCTCATGAAGAGATAGATGCTTTGGTCCAAGGAGAAGTAAAGCTACTCCGGTCCGTAGGCAACTCGGAATTAGGCCGGTCTCAGAGTTAGTCCGGCCGCAGTATGTTCTGGGAAGGCCGGTTTTGGAATTAGTCCGGTCGTGACGTACTATGGTTAGGTCGGTCAGACCTTGCTACTTGGAAGTTTGAGCTCACCAAGGTTGAACAGGGACAGCCGAAGTAAGGAATTAGAGGAGAAGACCGAGCTATGGACGGTTCGGCCCTCTGTGGCTCGGTATAGCCAATTTACTTCGGTTACATGGAAGTTCGGCCGTGGAGGAAACCATCCCACTTGGTTTAAGCAGTGGAGGAGGGTGTGAAAGGATAAACATTATCCTTAGGAGATTGAATCCTAGGAGGACTCTGCATGGAGAAATACAAGTCCTACTAGGATTGTGCCATATGAAACTTATAAAAGCTCACAAGCAACACCTTAGAGGAGGTAATTGAACACAATCTTTCTGAGAACTTAGAGCTTTGTCTATTTGTCAAGTTTTCTGACTTAGGCATCGGAGAGGTTTCCGGCACACACCCGCCGGCTAGCTCACGTTTGTGTTTTCAGGAGACAAAGCGACGACGTACGGAGGAGCGTGGACTTGGTCAACAGGATTATACGAGGAGAATTATTTCCTCCCCGTACAATCATCATCATCATCAACCAAAAATAAATCTCATCTGACACATCATCATCATTACACATATTCACAAAGAGAGAGAGATAGCTACAGAGAAAAGGGGCATACCACCTAGAAGACAAGGATGGCAAGGCAATCCCTAGGCCATGGAATACGGCCAATCTCAAGATATTTTACTTTTAGCTTTTCTCTTTCAAACATTATGTAATTTTCTCTTCCTTCAATAAAATGAGAAATTCTTT